AATAAGTAAATACATATAATATTACAAGTGAACACTTGAAAAAAAAAAGACTAATTATATAATGATAAATCATATTATAAATTTATAATTAAATGTGATATTATAATTATATCATTTTCATATTATATAACATTATGTATCATGAGGGATGAGTTTGTCAGATTCTTCTTTCAGTGCTGCAACAATTAATATGAACCCTAGGAATTTTTAGAAGCAAAAAGAATGGTGACAAAGAAGATTTGAATTCTTGCGGGGATTTTTAGAAGCAAAAAGAATGGTGACAAGGAAGATTTTTTTATAGATTGAAAGATGGATAAGAAGACAATCAATATTCTTGTTGCATTTCACAAGCCAAGAAAAAAGAGAGAGAAAGAGAGAGAGACATCTTGCATGTATTAGAGATGTATCCAAATCAAGTTTTATGGTACTGGATTTTCATCATGAATTCATCAATCAATGAAAGGAGTTCAGTCCGTAGTCTTTTTTATATAGTTTTTGTGTGGCCTTAACAATCTTTTGTGTGTCCGTAGCCAAAGCCCCATTTTTGTCATCTGTTCCACAACCATATTGCATTAATGAAATGCTAAAAGATCGAGGAAATTTCCCAAAATTTCTGGCAACCAAGAATCAATGTACGTACTGAGATGATGAGGAGCATTTGCGGTTGCCCCAGCCCTCATGGGGGAAAAAATCAAGTCGCCCCTCGTAATCTTTTAAATTCATAACAATCCTTTTAGGGGCAGACAGTTCTTATGGGACCAAAAGATTTAAGGACAGAATTGCGTGGCTGTTGGGATGAGGACCAAGTCAGCTGTTCTTACATGGTGATATCGCTTTTAGATTATGGTTAAAAAGCTTTGCTTGGTGAAGAATATCTGCTGATATAGCTAGAAATTGTAGGGAGGCGTTTGAGCAGTGGACGTGAGAAGTGGGTAAAGGACTATGCAATTTGCTTGCACTTGGACCATTTGACTTGCTAGCTAATAGGAATAAAATGAATTTTAGAAATATTTTCAGTAGATCTATAGAACATTCTATTAGCTGAAAGGTAGATTGAAACGACATCGTCACTTTCATTTTTTTGATTGGTTCTATGATCCACTAGTTTGTATTAAGTGTGTTGCAGGGGAGGTAAATTATTGGAAATTTTGATTTTATTTTATGTTCTTTTCTTAAACCTGCTTTCATTCTCCTCCCATAAGTTTTGAAGGATCAAATGCCAACTTTTCTGACAAGATTTTACCGCTGGTTAAGTATGTAGCATCAGGTATGTATTGATTTTCATTTGTTAGGTACGGATTAACAACTTTTGATAACTTTAGTTTAGTGCCCAATTCATGGATTATGCGCTTTCATTGCAATTCCATTTTATAGGAAGTGGCTGCTTGACTTGAACAATAGTTAGAAGACTTGGAATGATCAGAGATACACTTTTTGTTAGTGTATCAGCTAATTCATTAAGTTAGTTTAAATATGTAATCCCTAAACTTTTAAATTAAAAGATAAAAAGTGTGCATATATTATAAGTTAATTAAGAGTGTATTTGAAGTTATTGTGAGATATCATAGTTATGACTACACTGAATTGTTTTGCATTGTAGTTATAATTGAAAATTATTTAGTTATTTGGTTATATTTATTTCTTGAAAGTACGATAAATGATATATGATAAATTTTATTAATTATTAATTAAAATTTTAAAAATATTATATAACTATAGAAAAACCCTTCAACTGCATTTCTAGACGCACCTTGATAGTAGCATTTAGTTCTTGGAAGCGAAAGGCAATTTATT